CAATATGCTGACTCTCTGTAAACCGCTTAGAGAGACCTGAAAGGCCTATGAAGCGGTATATAAGTCTACTGCTATTGCTATTGCTATTGCTATTGGTGGCTCCGTGCAGAGATCGAGCCCGGCCAAAGGAGAGCCAGAGGGTCTGTCTCCCCTCCTGGGAAGGCCCTGAGGGTGGGCACCTCCTGTGCCATTGTCCTCAGAGAGACTGGCAGCTGCCGCGGTCCAAATGACCTTGGCAAGGCCAGCTGCCTTGACTGCCCACATGCCACACATCTTGTGTCTACCGGTCCCACCCGGGGGGGCTCCATCTCTTGGCAGAGGAAGCCCCTCCCAGGAAGTCACTTCCCCCCCCACAGGGCTCCATTGAACTGGTGGACAGAAGCCCTCCCCCCACCCACCCAGCCACTCACTGGCGATGCCCCCCTGCTTCACTGCCCTCTTTTTCAGCAAGTGGTGCCCCATTTAAAAATACATTTCTGAAAACCAGAGCGGGGAAGCCCCTTTGCTATGTGGGGTCTGGGCTGCCTGGAAGCCCCACCGTTCAGTGGTCCCACCAAGCCCAGTGAATGCAGCTGGACTTAGAGCCAATGAGGCAGCCCCAGTTGGTTTAAGGGAATTGGAAGGGCCCATGGAGGTCAACAAGTCCAACCCCCTGCTATCCCAGGAGACCTGCCCTATTTCTGCTGGAAGGCCGTCCAGTCTCTTCCTAAAAACCCCCAGTGATGGAGCAGCGACAAGTCCTGGAGTTGCACTGCTGAATTGTCCTCCCTCTCAGGAAATCCCTCCTTAGTTCCAGGTAGCTTCTCTCTTTGGTTAGTCTCCCCCCATTGCTTCTTGTCCTGGTGCTTTGGAGGAGAGGGGGACCCTCCCTCTTCTCTCTGGCCGCCCCTCAAATATTGGAAGGCTGCTCTCCTGTTCCCCCCCCGGTTCTTCTTCTTTCCACCAGACGAGGCAAACCCAAATCCTGCAACTGTTCCTGGGCTGTTTCCCCCTCCAGCCCCCTCCTCCCCCCGGTTGCGCTTCTCTGCCCTCTTCTCAGAGACTCTTTGGAGACTGGCATCCGACGCATATCCTCCCGCAGCTCCCTCTCAGCCATCCAGCAGTCGCTCCCCTCCCACACCTCCTCCCCCCCGCTCCGTCTTTTGCCCCACGGGGGGCTGCAGCCGGTTGCCGAGGAGCCCTTCCCCTCGCCCCCCCCCCCCGAGTCCCCAACAGCCTCTGAGGAGCCCCCCTCCCCCGGGAGCCCTTGGTGCCCACCCTG